AGAGTGCTGTCCTTTGAAGATGCCGGCCACAGAGACCGGCGAAACGTCAGGAAGAACAACCTTCAGAACACGGCCAAAGAGCCCGAAAAACCCACAACAACCATTATAGATGAAAGTTTGCTGCTGCTGCTTACTCTGATCAGTCCTTACTGTCTCTAGCTTCTTGAGCAGGGGACATTTCTCAGAAGTTTCCTTCGGGGTCTCACAGGTGTCTGTGTCAGAAGAGAAAGCCAGGGAAGACTGTTACATTTTGTTCTTGTGCGCTCTTTTCCCAGTTTTCCAACAATGGCTGGATGACAAGGGTCAAATTAAATATAGTTTTATTATTATAATATTCCCTGAAGGAGGAGAAAACACGTTGAAGAGAGTGATTTGATCATAAAAGCCGACAAGAGAGCAATTCCCACCCTTGTATCCCTTTCCCACCGTTGGCTACATCAGAGATGTGCATCGTTCCTTGTATTGTTCTTACTGGCAAGGATGAGAGATTGAAATATATTTCTTGCTGGTGAGGCTTGTGCTCAAAGGTGTTCTTGTATTGGTAAGAAGAATATTTTGTTTAATTTTCCCTCCCTAATTTTGCACCAAAGTGCAGAATAGAATGATATGTGTGAAGCTAGAACACCTGCTGCTTTATTTTAGAATTTTAAAGTCTAAATGGGCTGTTGGTATCTTTTGTAACAGTCATTCTGCGCTTGCTTTGTGTGTGAACAGGCATCCATTGCTCCTCAGATGGAAAGTATATTGGAGACATTTTACATAACTTTCAGAAACTCTGAGGAATTAAAACAGAGTTCTTTGTCCAGAGATGAGAAGTATTATGGGACCTTAAGAGTGTTCTATGAGGCATTTCATTGAGTAAAGGAGGTCTAAATCAGTAAAAACAAGGAAATCAGCATTGTTTTTGTCCTTCTTTGTAAAACATTATGTTTTAGGATGGTGTGATATTTTGCAAAATAAAATTACCATTAGCATCATTAAATTTATTTGATCTAATTTGTTTTAATGTGCTTCCTTGTTATTTTAAGAGCAGAAATTTAGGGAACTGGGGTAATTATAAAGATATTTAGGGATTTTTTTAAAAAGAAGATTAAAAGTAGTATGTGACTTGTAGGTTTATTAATAATATCATTACTTACGAATAGTGAATGGTATTACTGTTTAAAATAGCTTTCTCCATTTCTAAGGAAGTTTAGTTTTGGGATGCTTCTTTTCACAAAAAAGAAAACCAGCTGGAGGACACTTATCTATGTAATGTAGTGTTTGACTGTAACATTTGTTTCCTGCCCCCTCATGTGGCCTCTGTTCCCTGCTTCTTGGAGCACATGCTCCTTTTTTATTTTTTTATGTTTTTAATGGATCCTGCATAGTGAAGGAAAGTAGCCCACCTGCTGTTTTTGTCTGCCTTCATGTTAAGATCAAGTGGTCTGAGAGACAGAGATTGGATCACCTTTCTCCAGCTAGGTGCCTTCTGCCCCCTCATGTGGCCTCTGTTCCCTGCTCTTTTTTTATTTTTTATGTTTTTAATGGACCCTGCATAGTGAAGAAAAGTAGCCCATCTGCTGTTTATGTCTGCCTTCACGTTAAGATCAAGTGATCTGAGAGACAGAGATTGGATCATTTTTCTCCAGTTAGGTGCCTTTTAGATGTGTTAGACAGCACGTCCTCTCATTCTCAGCCAGGCATCTTGTTGAGGGATGCTTTGCATAATATGTCAACATATTTGGAAAGTGCCTGGTTTGGGAAGACGGGTTCCACCTCACCTCCTTTTATATGTGGAAGTAAGGCCCTTGCTGTTCTATAGCTGTTAAACAGTATGCTTTGATGCCAACATGACTTGGTTTTTTTGCACATTTTCTCTCCAATTAGTGATCCAGTTTTTTGATTCTGTCAAGGTGGACCGGACGCAAAACTGGCTCTATGCAGCTTGCTCCATCTCCTACCTAGGAGCCATGGTCTCCAGCAACTCGGCTCTACAGTTTGTCAACTACCCAACCCAGGTGAAGATTGGCAGGTTGAAGGGTGGAGAAGTGGGCTGATTGTAGGGTGGAGGACGGTCTTCTTATGGGAAGGTCTCCTTGTTGATGAAAAGCTTGGTATGCGGTTGCTTCACTGTAGGGCAAACAGTGTTTTAAATCCCCAGAACAATGTAGGGTAGCAAGATTTGGCATTGGCTACCTTGGGTCCTTTTAAGGAGAAAGGTGGGATAAAATATTATAAATTAATTTGCTTCAGGGCCATTGGAGGGGCCATTATTTTAAAAGCATTACCATTTCAGGTTTATAGAGAGCATCCCAGAAGTTCCCATGTTCCCTAGAACAATTCTCAGTTTGAATATCCTGACTCTTCCAGGTTAAGGGAATTAGTCTATTAGTTCCAGAGCCAGGGGCCCCTAAAAGTTTTGAGAGAGAGTATAGGCTCAGAGTATTCAAAACAAGTCCTGTTTGTTTCCCTCCATATGGCCTCTGGTGACCTTGAAGTGACAAGGCTTGTGCAGCCCCACCTCAGCGTTCACCCAGTTTTCTCTCTTCTTTGTGAGCTGCTCTCCTGGTGCATGTGTTCCCTTGTGCATTTTCATTCTTCCATAGCCAGGGATGGGGATCCTATAGCCATCCAGGTGTTTTTAGCTGCAATGCCTGCAATCCATTACCTTTGGCCATAGGGACTGGGACTTTGGGGGAGTTGCCACCTTGAACGACTGTAGATGCTGCTGCATTAAATTTCCTTTTGAAGTCCAGCATAGCGTAAGAGAACTTGTCATTCACATCATCATAATCCAGGGAAACCTTTAGCCTTCCAGATGTTTTGCAGAACAACTACCAGACAGACCTGCATTTTGCTTACTCTGGAGAAGAGCCTAGCTTGAAGATTCTGTGGCTCGGCTCCGGCCTCGCTTCTTATTTTAAAAAAGAAGCTGCCCCAGTTCTATCTGGGAGGAGTCTTGCTACTCATTAGATTCTATAGAGGGCAGTATAAATCCTGACGGGCGGCAAGGCTACATGTCCTATGAAGCCCTAGTATGAGAGGTATAGCACCAGGACAACTTTCTTTTTTTAACAGGAAGCTAGTGAGCAAAATGTAGGTGTGTGTCTGTGGCCTGAAACCCCCAGGCTTCTGTCTGAGTAATTCTTGGAGAATTCTGGGGCCCCAGAAAATTCAAATGGCACATCCCTTATATTTCTAGGAGGATTTTAAAAAAAATAAATAAATGAGGAAGATGTCTAGTAAATAAAGAAGTATAGTTCCATAGAGTTCATCAATTTGCAGACCAAGACAATGCAAAAATGTATACAGAGCAGAGAGGATTAAGAGAGGCAAAAACACAAGCTAGTGAAGTAGAATGAGGGGGAATAAATATGAGAGAGGAAAAAGAGCAAAGAAATCCTATAAAATAGGGGGTGGAATCTTAAAATTGATGTAAAGGATTACTATTTTGGCAAAGGGGACAGCAGACGTACTCCCAAAAATATGGAAATTCTCTCTCATTGAGCAGCTTTTACCTAAATTTGGTCTTAAAGAGGGTTCTGATGTTTTATGGTTTTTGAAGGCTAGATTTAAATAAGTTTCCTTTTCCATTGTGTAGGTCCTTGGGAAATCCTGTAAACCCATCCCAGGTAAGCAACCTATTAAGCTACAACTACAATTTGGTGTACACTTTGCCAGAAAATTGCTTAGATAAGTTAGACGTCCATAAAATTATTTGAAAGAACTGGTATGAAAAAGAAGAATGGAGGATTTACTGTTAAAATCATGTGGCTTGTGGAATTAGGAGAGTATGATTCATAAGCACTGAAGTTCTACTTTAGATCACTGAGGGAGCTAGTTACATATTCTTGGTTTGCGTGTGTTAAATCATCAGTTCGTCTCCCTGTTTTCAATATTTTTTCAAATATTTTCAAAATGCAAAAACAATCAAAATTATGTGAGTTTATTGCTGTGCTTGTGGAAATTACTTTTACATATACTCATCCACTTACTTTATTCCTGAGATTTCTTTATGTATTTCACCTGTTTTTTTGTCTTTTAAACTGAAGATACAGGGAAAACTTGGAAACATTCAAAATCCTATTTAGGAGGTTTGCGTGTGTTAACGTGGTGGCGCTGGGACGTGGTGGCGCTGCGGGCTAAACCGCAGAAGTCTGTGCTGCAGGGTCAGAAGACCAGCAGTCGTAAAATCGAATCCACGCAACAGAATGAGCTCCCATTGCTTGTTCCAGCTCCCGCCAACCTAGCGGTTCGAAAGCATGTAAATGCGAGTAGATAAATAGGGACCACCTCGGTGGGAAGGTAACAGCATTCCGTGTCTAAGTCGCACTGGCCATGTGACCACGGAAGATAGTCTCCGGACAAACGCTGGCTCTATGTCTTGGAAACGGGGATGAGCACCGCCCCCTAGAGTCGAACACTACTGGACAAAAATTATCAAGGGGAACCATTACCTTTACCTTACAATTGTAAAATGTTGACAAGAGTAGTACCTATTGTTAAAAAAAATCAGTGGTTAAACAGATTCCTTGCTACCATTCCTTTAAGTAACCTAGAATGGCATGTGAATTTTGACAACACTCTAATGAGGTAGATTAAGCTGAGAGGCAGTGACTAAAGCCCCTTAGTGGATACTCTAATAGAGTGGTAATCTGAAGCTGGCATTCTCTATGTTCCATACTAGAGATTAGCACAAACCTCCAGACGTTATTGGACTGTACAAAGGCTAATGTTCCTGCTTATATCAAGTGTTGAGGAACACACAAAGGGGGCACCATTTCATTAGTATCTTGTTTGTAGTTTTCTGGAGTCACCTGATCAGCCAACCTGTGAATAAAATGCAGAACTAGGCAGGCCTTTGGTCTGATCCAGCATGGTGCTTCTTGCATTCATATGACTACTATTGCCAGGGTCCATCACCAGTGACTGTACTGGCTGAGACTCATGAGAGTTTCAGTCCAACAGCATTGGAAGCCATACTGTTCCATTACTTACTCCAGTTACTTCACTGCAGATACTTATATTTTTAGGTTCTGTTAGGAATCTGGGATGGAAGGGGGAGTCTTTTAATTACTGATAATCACCACAGCCGGGATGACTTTGCCACCAGCACCACCACCAGCAGTTTTTGATAATTCAAGACTTTCCTGTTACTGCTGCTGTTTATGATGTCATCAGCCTTTGTAGCCTTTTGTTGTGGCAAAAGAATTTCAGCCCCTGGGTGGGTAACAATACGTAAAATAAAGCACAGTAACATAGAAGGCATGCCAAATATTTAGTAACCTGTCATTGAAAGTTAGGAAAATGTATTTGATGGTACAAACAGTGACACAGTGGAGTTGGGTACCATGGGCCAGGTGGGCCTTTGGTTGATGGTGTTTTTCAAGCAGACACCGGTGGCTTTCAAGCAGACTGTGGACAGTCACTGTGGCAGGATGCGTCCTCTCCGGCTATTTGGGATTGACAGGAGAGGGGCTTGACTATTCTATTGATTTGCAACCTTTGGTCCTGCAGATGTATCTGAGTCAGCATGGGCAGTAGTCAGGGATTCTGGGACTTGGACTTCCAAATATTTGGAGGGTCAGATGTTCAAAATTAGCTGACCAAGAAGCCCCCTCCAGCTACACAGTCTGTGAACCTGGATGTAAGTTTACAGACTTTCCTCATCTCATTCAGATCCTGCTCAAACAGGAGTGGGGCCACAGAACCCTTGAAAACTCCTGGTTATAATTCAGTTTCTGTCCTAGAGATTCCACGTACTTAGAACTGTTTGAGCTACATGCCGGATCCGTAGGGTGAAATCATAATTGAATAAGTGCAGCGCCTAATACAGTAGTAGCTCTTGATTTGTGTTCGGTGCTTCATGTATCACTTTTTGTGGGCAGCGGCAGGCAAATTGTGGCCTTCCAGATGTTTTTAGACTGATGTTCCCCTTGTTTCCTAATACAGTAGTAGCTCTTGATTTTTGTTCGGTGCTTCATGTATCACTTTTTGTGGGCAGCGGCAGGCAAATTGTGGCCTTCCAGATGTTTTTAGACTGATGCTCCCCTTGTTTCCTTTCTATTAGCTATACTACCTAGGGCTGCTCGGAGCAGCTTGCCAAAAATATATTGAGAGCTGTGATTGGCCCCCAAGGTTAAGAACCAGTGAGCTATACTACCTAGGGCTGCTGGGAGCTGCTTGCCAAAAATATATTGAGAGCTGTGAGTGGCTATGTAGGGGTTGGTGCTGGAGATGTTGAGGTTCTGGAGATTTTGAAGCCATAGGGGTACCTCCCCCAAGTTCTTTTCTGTTTTCCCTGCAAACAAAAATTAGAAATTCTGGTGGGGAAATGAAATATGTCTAATTTTTTTCGTGCCAAGCTTTAACTTCTTTTTTCATTTTAGCAATATTGCCATGCTGCCAGTAGCAGGCTGTCTTTATAACTTAGTTCACACAGGAGTCTGCATAATTTTTTTTATGAAATTCAAGAATATCCTATACTAAAGAGAAATCTACAAACTGCTGCATACTATGCATTGCAGTTCACAATAAATAAATCTCCCATATTCTCCTGTCATCATGGAGATGGCAGTATTTACTGGGCATAGACATTTGACTTCTGTTTTGTATGTGTATATCTTTACAATACATGCAGGAATTCTGCTTCTCTACTTCTGCAAATTATCCTATGTATGACTATACCATTCAGTTCATAGATATGTGAACAAAATCTTGTTTTTAAACCATTTAATTCATTACAAAAATCAAAATAAATAGTTGCAGTGTTTTTCTAACCTTCCCAAAGTTTCTGGGTTTTGCATTGGAAAAATGGAAGAGATGTACAGTAATTGGAAAAGCAAATGGAGGGAAAACTTGCATACGTTCCCCCCACCCCATTTTTTTTAATTTTAAAGGAAGGCTCTTATGTCTCTGGTGGCCTGTGAAGCTTTGTTGGCAAGTCGTATGGAGTGCAGTGTTTCCTATTTGAGAGTTGTGGCAACATTAGCTGGAAACTACAATTTCCAGAATCCACTAGCCAAGCTTGGAATTGTAGTCAGAAAGTAACATTTCTAAGTTCCAAACCATAACAAGAACATTTTGACCTCCAACCAGGTTACTAAGAAAAGAATATACAGGTGTGGCTGTTTCTAGATGTCATGGCTGTTAATTACATAGGATCAGATTTAGAGACAGAGTTTGGAGGCTTTGCCTACAGGGGCTTTCACTAGTTAGTCAGCTCAAATTACTCATCTCTTGGACTTGATAGGCAGCATTTGGTAAATAGAATGATGGAAAGTACTTTCCCCCTTTGTGACGGGGTGAGAGTCTTGCTTTGTGGGGTACTGGTTGCTGCACCACAGTAAAGGATGCCATAACAATCTGCCGTGGTTACATTTCCCGGCGGTCACTTCTCCATTGTTCTTTTTCCTCTGTAGTCATGCTCCTTGGAGTGACAGTGCTGAGGAAGAAGTACCCACTCGCCAAATACCTATGTGTCTTACTGATCGTCACAGGTGTGGCCCTTTTCATGTACAAGCCAAACAAGGCAGGAGACCTGGGAGATGACCATATTTTTGGATATGGGGAACTCTTGCTGGTAAGTCCTGAGCATTATTAAAGTCTCTGTTGGTAATAATTGCATATTAAATTGGTGCTGCACAAGGGAGGAAGATTTGACCCAGGAAGTATAATTCTTGCTTAATATGGTGCTGGTTAATTCAGTTGTATGTCTAGTGTGCTAATATAAGCTTGGAGCAAAGCATGACAAAAGGAACTTTGCTGTAGTGTTACTTGTCCACAGCCTGTTTAAGAAGCCTAGTGGCATATCAAGCTTACATCAACCTTGGGAGGAAAGTTAGGCTAAGGAATAATTACTTGCCAAAAGTTACCTGATAAGCACCTCTCATGTTAGCTGGGGATCCTGGGAGCTGCCATTCAAAAATGCAAGCTGCCTTGAGTCCTTTTTAAGGAGTAAAGTGGGATAAAATAGGATGGATGGATGCATGGATGAGCAAGCAAGCTCTGGCTTAATTTTCTCTGGACTTGGGTAGGCAACTGCCATACCTCTGGATTAGGCAACTTTAGCGTCGATCCTAGTTTCAAAAGCTTTCCACAGACAATTCATACATCTAGCAAGAGTGAGCTGTGTTTTTCCTCATAGTCCAGTAGGTGGGAAGAAAGATGGGAAAAGAGAGGAGATTGACACCATCTATTTTTTTTTTGGCTCTGGCCCCACCCTTTCCCTGACAGCCCTCAGCAGAAAAAAGATGCCAACCTCTCTCCTCTCTGCATGAGATTTTAATACTGTTGTTCTTTTGCATGTTTGAGGAGAGCACGAGATCCTACCAATGCAGAATAGTGTATGGCTGATCAGAGAAGTAATGCTGGTAAATCGGCTCCAGCACACTATTCAGAGTTAATGATCTGTGTAGCATTTTAGGGGAAACACATCCGAACATGCTCATGTTTTGCTTGTATAATATAAGAAAGGATCCAGGGTGGTCAGATTGTAAAGCATGAGTAGCCAGGGAAGAAGGTTGAAAACTATGGCTATTATCCAAATCTGCTTCCTGTTTAAGTGTTTATTAAGCATGTAATGCTTGCAGATGTTTGGCTGTTGATATAACAGCTGTAAGCCACCCTATGAACAGCTCCTCCCAAAGGAGTACAGCAGAAATGTATTAAATTGATAACAGATGCAAAAAGAGCTGGCTTTTTCCACCCACCCATCCTATTTGTTTGTTACTGAGCTTGGCAATTTGATTGCCCGAAAGAGATGATTTTGAACCTCAGAGAATAAAATGCATGTCCTTATCACACATCTGTAAAATGGTGATATTAGTGAGAACAGGTGTGGGTGATCTCAGCATGGAAGAGGGCCATTTTGCATATTTCCATTAAAAAGTTGGACAGAATGGTTGCCTATAATGTTTTTTGTTATCTGAAAAGGGAGTTTCTACAGTATTGTAAAGATGTTATAACTAGAGGGAAACCTTTGTGCCCTCTAGTGGCTGAAATAAAAGGTGTGTGGGAAAAGACAATAATGCTGGGAAAGGTTGAAGGCAGCTGGAAAAGAGGAAGACCAAATACGAGATGGATTGTCTCCCTAAAGGAAAACACAGGCTTGAGTTTGCAAGCGCCTAGCAGGGCTGGTGAGGACAGAATATTTGGGAGATCACTCATTCATAGATTTGCTGTAAGTTAGAGCTCATGAGTTTTAAAAATTCATTTTCCATTGGGTAGGGGAAAATCATAGGAAAGAGGATTTGGAACAGGGTACTGGGGTAAATAAAAAATACAGCATGTGATAGAAAACAATATATATCATTATTACTTTTGCCAATATGTTTTCTTACTAAGCTTACTTCACACTTCTCTTGCCATTTTTTTCTAAGCCATTTCATACTTATCTTGCAATTTTTTCTTTTTTTAAAAAAAGGAAAAAAAATAGGAGTCAGAGATAATTTGACTGCACAAGGGTGGGCCCATAGTGCTGTGAGCTCCTGATAGTATAGCATTCCAGTTCAAAAGCTCCTAGAGCAGTGATGGCGAACCTATGCCTTGCATCCCACAGCTGGCACACAGAGCCCTCTCTGTGGGCACACGAGCCATAAGTCACTAGATCGCTACCCTTGGCAGCCAAATCTGAGGAAGTGGCTGCCATCACTGCCCTAGATACCACCTTTTAAAGCAAAAAAAATTATTTCTCTCTCAAGTAAAAGTTTTTGGCGTGGTGTGAGGGAGATGAAGATACCCAGGGATGCTTGAACACAACAGGAAAAAGGAGGGGGCCCTGGGGCTTGTACATTGCATATCCGATTGTGGGGTATCTAGCTATACATTTAACTTTAAAAGGTAATTATAAATTCATTTTTAACTATGCTTGTGTGGAGCCGGGAGATTTAGTGTAGGCAAAGACCAGCATGGTTTCCCAGGAGGCAGCAGGAAGTACCTTGGAAACCAGCATGTATGGTGAAGATGTTTGACTTCATCAGTAACTGCCCTTCTGTAGTTAATTTCCATCCTTGAAAACTGAACATGGGCTGTTTCTTGAAACATGTTGCTTGAGTTTACTGAACTTTGGTGGATTCTATCAATTTCTATACTGCAGCCCCCCCATTGGTAGGAAATATTTGGGTCGCAGATCCTAACGGCCTTTCTTCCAGGATCAGGGTACCCTTTTCAGTCAAGCTGCTCCCTATCTGTCTGTCTGTCTGTCTGCCCTCCCTCCCTTGCTACAGTTGCTGTCGTTGACACTGGATGGCCTGACTGGAGTGTCTCAGGACCACATGAGAGCGCACTGCCAGACGGGCTCCAACCACATGATGTTGAATGTTAATATGTGGTCTACTCTGTTCCTGGGAGCTGGTAAGGATCTTCTGAAGGGGAAAGTCTGGGGCATCTTGGATTGAACTTGGTGGCCCCGATTCACCATATTGTGAGAACTCTGGGAAGCTGTATCCAGGCCGCTGCTGTTCCTGCTCATCCAGAAAAAGAAGAAAAGGGGAGAGCAAGGAGAGATCCTAGTGCAGAAATTTTGAGCATGTGGTGAGGGTACTGATCCAGTGGGTGAGGGTCATTTTCACCTCCTTATATGCTAATGATATTGATGCAAAGCAAAGGTGTTTGGTGCCTTAAGAGACTAATACGTTTATTATGTTATGCATTTTTTATAGTATACATTTTCATGAAATATATATCTTTTCATCAGAGGCATGATGGGTTGTCCAGAATCTCAGGTAGATTTATAAGATCAGAGGAAAACTAAACCTAGGAAGTGCAGATAGTGATATTATTTATGGCATTATTAATGGTGGCTGTTCACAAAATGTCACTGTACTTTTTGCTTTTAGTTTCCAGACCGTGCTGTCCTAGACCCCAGGGGCCTCTGTCGTGTGCCATAATCTCTGAGCACAGTAGTAAAATAAATCTGCCACTCTTTTCAAGTGTCACAGGACTCTGTTTTTGCTTGTGGTTCTGCTGCAACAAACTCACATGGCTACCCTGTTGAAAATTGTTATTGTATGGCTGACAATGTGTCCCTTTCCAGCAACCTGTCTTGGGGCAAATATTGCCATTTATGAGATTGTTTAGCAACTAGATTGCCCAACAAGCCAGTTTGAAGCTGAATGTGGCAATTGCTGTTCCTTGCTCCAGTGGAGTTCCACTGCTCCTTCTTCCCAGTGTTCTTTTTTCCCTCTGTCTCTCTCTCTCTCTGTTTCACACAAACACACACACTAACTGTTTTGCTTTAACCCCAGCTTTTCATCATGTTTCTGGGTTGCAGCTGCTGTACTGTAGTTCTTCAAATGACCACAGTGTGGAGCTGTTGCTGCTGCTTTAGCAGCCTGTAAGACGCTTCCCCTCCTTGGCCCTTCCTGTGTACAGTTTGGATTTTGCCTGGACTCCAGCTGCAGATTGGCAGTAGCAGCCTGCTCCCACATAGGGGTCTCCCTTGTTCCAGCAGCATGCGTACCTTTCCCATTCTGCTCTGCTTGGAAGAGTTAAGCCTTTGTAATTTATTTTTGTGTGCAATAGTTCAACACATACCCCCCCTCCCTGCGCCCCATAGTAGCTGCCTTAGGAGAAGGGGCTAGATAATGAATGAAAAGGACTAACCCCTTTCAGGGAAAGGAATGTGGAGAACAATTGTGCCCTCAACAGGAACAAGGCACCATTAAAAAAAAGAAAAAGGGAGGTATTGAACTGCAGTGGGCAGGAGCTGCAGAAGAGGCTCTGTGCTGATTGGCTTGTCACTTCTGAGCCTCCCATTAGAGCCTCCCCAAAAAACCAAGAGTACAGAGCATGTCAAAGGTAGCTGCTCCACATGGCTTCAGCTGTGAACTGCCTGCAGGATTTGCCTGTTCTCGACCACAAAAGGACATTTCAGCATCTATGATGTGACACTCAACCCCACACAGTCCTTGCATCTCACAAAATTTAGTGGGCACCAGCCTTGCCTACCTAGCAATACCTGTCCAGCTATATTATCTTTTGATATCTCAGGGCTGGTTTCCCCAACCTGGAGCTCTGGTATGTTGGATTTACAGATATCACTATCCTCCGTCACAAAGATACATTATTGTACTGGCTGGAGTTGATAGGCCTTGTGTATTTGGAGGATAGCACATAGTAATAGACTTGCTCTAGGCAGGAATATATAGTGCTCCAGATGTAGTTTGAGTCCAGTACCCATTTACCCTTGCTTTTGGCTCTACCTTCAGAGGCTGATGGGAGTTGATGTCTGTGGACATCTGAATGTCCACAGGTTTCTGTACTTATGATCTACAGCAGTGGTTCCCAACCTGGGGTCCCCAGCTGTTCCTTGACTACTGTGGTAGAGGCTGTAGTGCCTCTTGGACGCAGCAACTCCTAGTGTTTTCCATGCTTATGGGGGCCTGGCTGCTTGGACATTCCATCACACTTATTATCAAGTGGCCAATGAAGAGTGAGGCCTTCCTGGTCACAGAAGATGCTGGGAGTTCTTGGCACCTAAGAAGTGCCACAGCAGGAAGAGGGAGTGTGAGGAAATGAAGTCAGTGTCAGAGATCCCTCAGATGAAGCCATTCTCTGTGAGGGATGAAATCTAGATATTTGGTAGGGTTGGCTTTGTGGGCTATAGTGCCCAGAATTCTCTGGGAAGGCAAATTCTGGGAGAGTCTTGAGAATTGTGGGAGTTGCAGCCCAAAGACACAAAAGAGCCCACCCTTAAAAGGGGGATGTGAATATTTGGTGGTGCACAAGATACCTAAGATGATGACTTGCAAAATTGTGAAAGTTTTGTAGCAAATGGATTAGATGCAAAGGTTGTGTTAGGACGGAATGCCATTGTGATGGTGGTTCCTTTTTCTTGGGATGGTGATGGGGAGGATTCAGGCCGCTGCTGTTCCAGGGATGTACCGTAGGACCACAGTATCTGTAGGGGATTGGTGCCAAGCACTTTGCCCCGTAGATGCTGAAATATGCAGACATATTGAACGCTACACATTGCATGGTCTCTTTCACCCTCTAGTGGCCAGTTCCAGTAAATACACCCTGAAAATACAGCATTTATATTTTTCTGTATATAAGAGGCCCCCGTGTATAAGACTTTTCTAAAAGTCCCCACTTTTCTAAGCCCAAATTAAGAAATCAATATTTTAAACATAAAACAGAATACATTTTTATTTAGTAATTAGGTAACATTTACATACCAGTACTGTCATATTATGCATCACACTTAGCTCTGAGCATATCACTTTATTCAGCCTCTGGGCTCAGAATGCTTGGACATTACCAGTTCCTGTTGCATCTGAGCACTGTCTACATGCTCCACCTCCAACGAGGTATGTTCCAGTTGGTTTGTTCAGCATCAGCTGACACCACTTACATAATGCTTGTGATTGGAGGAAGCTTAGCTGCCTCCTGATTGGAGGCAGCTAAGCCTTGTGATTCAAGGAAGCCTGTTTGCAGAGGCAAGGCATGGACAGTTTTGCAATCATGTGGTTCTCTCTTCAGCTTACATCCATGTATAAGACAGCTCTCAATTTTTAGTCTACAGATTACAGCAGTGTATTGTCTGTATTGTCTTATACACAGAAAAATACAGTATAAATAGGTATTTCTAGATTTTTTTATTTACTATTTTCAACTAATGGATAAGTGGATCAGTGGATACTGATCCTGTGGATAGGGGTCTTCTACTGTATTGAAATGCTCTCACTCTTCTTTGCAGATTTCTCACTTCATCCACTCCTTGTTCAGATTTGGGATTCCCAAGCTCACACTTTGCTTCTGTACTTGATTATGGATATAAAAGCACCAAAAAAATAAGCTGCCTGTGTAAAATTTCAGTGTTATGTGTCTAAAATATTCAAGAGGGGCTGGAGAAAGATCCAGACCCAGCTCCCAAGTCCTGAAAAGGGAATGTGTGTGCTCTCCTAATAATCAAGAAGGGACATTTGTGCTTTTGTACTGTGGTAGCCCTACCAAAGGAAAGGTAAAAGAGGGGCTTTCTGTACAGGTGGGTTAGGAGAGGCTGCCACCCCTTGCACTTAACTTTCTGAGCAGGAAAACTGTCTGCTACAAATATACAGGCATGTAGGAGTGTTGCTTGTCAATAGAAACAACAGCTGGATGTAACAAGGGTCTGACCCCCTGGGGTTGGACCATCCACTCATGCATCCGGCAGTGGCTCCACTCTCCCTTCCAATCACTCCAGAGCTGCCAGTCGGCTTAGCCACTTGTCAGCCTGGCAGGGAGACACATCTTCCCTCCTTCTGCCAGGAGTGGATAGCCAGCTGTGAGTTCCGGAGTGATTGGAAGGGAGAACAGAGCTGGCAGCGCCAGCAGATGCATGAGTGGGCAGCCTGGGCCCAGGGGAGCGGACCCTCATTACGTCAAACTGTGGGGGTATTTGTATACGAATACCCCCATCTCTGCTTGTCAGTGGCACCCTAGAAATTCCATTTTGTTTTCCTTATAATGCAAAGTTAGAAGTGCTGGAAGGGCCACACCCAGGTAACATTAATACATAGAAGGGAGTTCAGAAATAGAGGCATACCATTCTTAAGGAATAGCTGTAAACCTCTACAAGGCAGCAATCCATGAAGAAGAAAGCATACCGTTCTTAATAGCTGTAAACCTCTTTCTCTCTACACATTTTGAGTGAGGAGTCACCTGAGTACAACAATTATTGGGTCATTGGATGGTTGGCCTACTACTTTATAGCAGTTTTGCATTACAGTAGAATTCCCTTATCTGCGGGTTCAGTATCCACTGATTCACTTCTCCATAGTCTGAAAAATATTTAAAACATTAAAAGAAAAATCCTAGAAACATATATTTCTAAATACGAAGTTCCCAGAATTGGTCACCAGAGAGAGCCAGCTATAACGCTTTGTATAGCACTATTAAAATATTTAATCTGCATTTTTCAGCATCCATGGTGGGGGGGCTTGAAACCAATCCCTGCAGATACAGGGTCTACTATATTCTGTAGATGAAAGGTAGAGAACCTCTCGCCCTGCAATTCCCCTCGGCCTTCTCTGCTGGCCAGTCTCTGTGTGGCTGATGGGAGTTGAGGTCTACAAGATCTCAAAGGCTTTAGATGCCCAAGCTGTGAGGTAAAAAAAACTCGATTCTGTCATATTCTGTTCCATTCTGCTTGCAGAAGTTTGTATCTCCCTTCCAAGCAAAACAGAAAGTTGAGAAGCATTTGGCTCTCAACCTTTCCTAGCATTTTTGCCTTGCATCTCACTGGCTGTGATACACAGGTTCTGCTGTAACGATCGCTGGCTTGTGAGCCAAACCACTTTGGACACAGATATCAAAGAAAGCAAAGAATAGTTTGATCTGTGCTTTGAATCTTTGTTCTTTTTCTTTGTAGGTATCCTGTTTACAGGAGAAGTTTGGGAGTTTTTGAGTTTCACCGAGCGTTACCCCAGCATTATCTATAATATCCTTCTCTTTGGCTTAACGAGCGCATTGGGCCAGGTAGGTGAATCATGATTCCTGCCCTGTGTTGTATCTTAAGTGTGTTTCTCCAGCCCTCAATGTATTTCCACTTTTGATTTTGTGTTCAAGGAGTGTGGATTAATGTAGAATAAAGAACTGAGAGCTCTCCAGTCGCAATTCCCAAATGGCTTAGTTATCAGAATAGTTCCAGAGTAAGAAGCAATGCACTCTTCCTTGAGGAGTCTCTCTGTAGTAGAGCAAAGTTTTGGCAATCATTGGATTTTTTTTTCCACAGGGCTCTCTCTCCCATAAATATTGCCTGTGTGTGACCATTCTCTTTAAACCAGGAACCATGGTTTAAATCAGTGGTGTCCAACCTTGGCCCTCCAGATGTTCATTGACTACAGCTCCCAGAAGCCGTCACCACCTCTGCTGGCCAGGATTTCTGGGAGTTGAAGTCCAAGAACATCTGGAGGGCCAAGGTTGGACACCACTGGTTTAAATCCTGACATACTACAGGTGCATGTAACCTGTTTGTGCCTGCTTCATTCCTTCCTTCACAAAAGCAGGCAAACAAGGCAGGAAAGGGGTTCTGTGTGACAACTAACACTGGGATTATGGTTTATTTATTGAACTTATATCCTGCACCATCTGGCAACCAGTCCACTCTGGGCAGCTAACAACGATATGAGCAACAATATTAAAACACTCTAAAAATAAATTAAAACATAACCAAATAAGGTAAATTAAAACAGATGACAAAGGTGGTGGTAAAAAGGGTAATGGAGAGGATGGTAAAATGGAGGTCGAGATCTTAATGCTTTGGGGCCGAGATCTTAATGCTTTGGGAAAGCCTGGCGGAAGATGCATCTAGAGTGTATAAAAACTTGTTGTTTTTATAGATCCTGGTTTGTTTGGGTTCTGTTTTAATGCTGGATTGGAAATCCAAGGAAACTCCCCTTCTGGGTTCAGGACGAGCTGTGGGCACAAGCAGACTGAGAAGTCACATTGCCTTCTCTTAAGCCAAAAGCCTGGCGGAAGATGCATCTAGAGTGTAAGCCAACTTGTTGTTTTTATAGATTCTGGTTTGTTTGGGTACTGTTTTAATGCTGGATTGGAAATCCCAGGAAACTCCCCTTCTGGGTTCAGGACAGGCTGTGGGCAGAAGTAGACTGATAAGTCATATTGCCTTCTCTTAAGCCAAGGTTCAAGGCTTTGAAGTAATGACCCAACATGCTTACAATATGTGTAAATAGCACAGGACTGCAACAAGATTGCTTCCTTTATGCAACCCCCTTCATGGATTGCTGCCTTGTCGTGGCGAAGGGGCTTGAGTAATTCAGAGACGCTATGGGCTATGCTGTGCAGGGACACCTAAGACGGACAGGTCATAGTGGAGAGTTCTGACTAAATGCTATCCACCTGGAGCTTGAACTGGCAAGCCACTCCAGTATCCTTGCCAAGAAAACTCCATGGACAGAGACAAAAGGCTAAAAGATATGACGCTGGAAGATGGGCCCCTCAGGTTGGAAGGCGTCCAACATGCTACTGAGGAAGAGCGGAGGACAAGGACAAGTAGCTCCAGAGCTAATGAAGTGGTTG